GTTTCTCATTTCGTTGCTAGCACTTAACTGTCCGACGGCTTACCTGGCTCTTTACCAATGCAGTGATAGCAGATATATTGCTTAAGGTAGCAAGTAATAAACTGATGACCCATCCGAAAAAGTCTGATGAAGAAAGAATTATCACAAAATGTTAGACGCACAAGTCTTCTACGAAGTGAACATACGATGAAATCGACTTTCACTTGTCAACTGAACGCAAAGGAGGCGTGACACGGCGAAATAATAGTTTGCTTAGCATTTAATAGTGCCCAATTTAATTTTCCTTCAGGCATAAATGTTTTTTTCTTAACAGTTTGCTTCCTTGAGCAAAAACTTAACTTCACAATGTTTCTTTGGAGCCAGCCAAGAAATGGGAAGCAAATGGATGGTCTATGCAAATAACGTACAGTGCGTTGGAAGGTGATGGCTGAGAGTGCGAGATTTACGACCATAATATCCCATGCAAGAATCTTAAGGCTACAGTATGCATTGAGTTAATCGAAAGATGACTAAAATCATCTCAAGGACGAATACATTCTAATGACGCAGCAAGCAGCAATCATGCCCTATCACCGCTTGAAATAAACGAACAAACAAGTCAGCTGAACTTACGTAAAATAGTCCAGCGCGACTGAGTACACTCGCTTGCGCAGAATGTACTTTGCGGTTCCGTCAGGAAAAATTGTGCTTTGCGCGAGACCAAGGATGGTCGTGAGCAGTTGGAATCGGACGCTGAGCGCCTCGATGTGGTGCGTGAACAGGTTGGTAACGACGGTGTGCGGACACATCTGCGAATTGGGTAGAATCGCGAAATCGACCAACCTTGCTGATGAAGAATAGCCGATTTTCAACGACAGCGTCTGGGAGAAGGAGATGAAGAAAATTTCCACTAGATCATAGCTACAGTATTTCGCAGTGTTGATGTGTTCGATAAGGAACTGCAAGCAGAAACGCGTTCAGTGTGAGAATCACCATTAAGCACTGATATTTCATAATCAAGCACCTTTATCCAGATTTTGTGCGGCATGACGAACGGTGACTTAGGAATAGAGTGGTTTAAATCCTTAGCGGCGAATGGATTCAGCGGTTCCGGGTCATCGCAAAAAACGCCAAGCTTTAAATCAGCACTGAGCTTCCAAGCAATGCACATATCTTGAAAAAACTGCGAGCAGCAAAAAACGTTAGAAACAAAAAAGCTGCAAGATCGATAGAACATAATAAACTTACCTCAGTCTGAACATTTGGCTTAGCGGCCAATAACCACTGCCAGCATGCCGTCGAAGTCTTCATAGTGGGCGTAGTAAAATTTTTTAATATCGCCGTGCAAAGCGTGTTCAGAAGAACCGAATTGACCTCTGCGAAAAAAGACACGTGTGAAAATTTCTTATACGGTTAATAAGCAACAAAAGCACACCATTATCGATTATAAATAGCGAGCACATTCGCCACAACGATATGGAGATTTTTTTCTCATCGCCTGTTTTGCAACAATTGTCAAAGTCTCTGAGCAATTTCTCAGTCAGCAAAAACATGCTGTTTTCTTCAAAGAACGACAGCATACCCCGAACCTGAAACGAACAGTCAACTAAAAGTCAATCGCAATTTTAATAATGAATAAGTTATAACCTCTCCCAGGTAATAACTCTGCAGGCTAATACTGGAGACGTACGATGACGGATCGAGCGAATCGCAAATGTTGTCATCCTGAAGCTCGTTGGATTTGTCAATTTTCAGGACGGAGTCGATGGTCAAAGCCAGTCCGGCTTGTTTCATAAAAGAAACCGAAAAATCTTTTGCATTCATTTCGTTCACGTACACCTGAAGCATTAGATAGGACAAAATATAAAACGGTTCCTCAAAAAGGGAACTTTTCTTTTGTTTATAACACCAAATGCCAGTTTTGTATCGACAGAAAGTTAAAAACCAAAATAGAAAGTTAACATACGAAATGAACTTGAATCAAAACTATTTTTATTTACAGCCTGAAGAATCGTGCTCAAGGGTCAATGCAGCATGGCCATAATCGTGCAATGCAATTTCGAACATTACCACAACTAAAAACCAAGCCTCACATTTGTTAGCAAGTCATCGACTTTCACTTCTGGGCTAGCTGCAGCAACGCAGAGTGGGTTTAATTTCTGCCTACTCAAGAAAATCAGCAGCAAGTAAAGAAAAGTTACCCTCTGCCTGGAATCGATTACGTTTCCTGCATGCAAAATCCAATGAATGATCACTGCGTATGTCCTCATAATAAACGTAAGTCACACGTTGATATCTCGCGGTTTGCCCTTTCCTAACATAAAGAGCTGGTATCCTAATGAAAAGAAACTCATTTTTTTAGGTTCGAACTTCGACCAATCCTTATTTCAAACGCAGTAAAGGGAACGGATAATGTGAGTACCGACTAAGCAGGTCACGGTTCAACGGTACCATTGTATAAAAACGCCACCACTGTCATGAAAAATCTCTAGCTGGAATGCTTCGAGAAGTATTTCTTTGTTTTTCTTAAACAAGGTTCATTATTTTGCACAGATGTTCTCCCGAACACCAAGAGGACTTGAACGCGTTGTTTAAAAAGAACAGTCAAATACTGCTCGAAATGTATAAGACAGGAATTCTGTACGTGTTCATAAAAATTATTTATCAGGCATTTTTAAAACCGTTATACATATAGTTTATTAGGTACATAATTTGTTTACTTCTGATTTTAACTTTCCTACCATACCGTTTCAAGACTCTTACTGAAATCCATAATTGCTCCATATGCAACGAAGTTTCAGTACGTGACAAGATTAGTGAAATACGAGGAAAACCTTATTTTCCTAATTGGCATAATTTATCTTGCATAAACTAATTTCCTAGCACTGCGCACGGATTTAAATTTCTGCCCTTATTATAAAAAACAATACGTCATTCTGCAAAATTTATCAGAATTAAATACAGTAATAACAAATGAAATTTAAAAATGTCATCTGTCCTCTAAAATCAATTTTTATTACATCTACACATCTATAAAGTCTCATTCTTTGCCACGACAAAGAACATATAGAGTAACAGCGACAAGACGGTGTCCCTCAAAAATGTTTGCATAGATTTATAATTTTTAAAATAAATTAATGTATAAAAATCTGCTTTACTCGTCACAAAAACAACGAATAGGTAAGTAGACACTTCCAGGTTAATATAATCTACTTACTTTATGCAATCAAGTGCAAAATCAAACCTTATAAATGAGTTTAGGTCAGGTTTAGGTAAAACATTAGAACGTGGAATTTTAAACGTAACTGCATGAATAGACTGATGACGCAA